GAGACCCTCGACTCAAAAAAACAGACAGAGTGATGGCATGATGCCTTCTTCTGGACTCTGACCAGTGTGCAGGGATTATAGGCATGTCCATCACACTGGGTTTATACAGCCCCGGGGATAACCAGGGTTTCATGCACACTAGTGAAGCACTCTATCAATCATGCTACACCCCCAGCCCCAAAGATGCAACTTCTAATAGTAATAATACACAGATGTGAGTCTACCCAGGATCAGAGATTTTTGAAAAAATTATTAAAGATAATTTGGTAGTAATTTAAACTATACTGTTATAAATTTAAGGTATTAACCACATACTAGAGTAACTATTATGGAAATAAAGGGGTTGGAGGGATAGCTCAGCAGTTGAGAACTAGCTGCTCTTGCAGAGAATCTGGGTTCAATTCCAAGCAGCCACAACTGTCTGTAACTCTAGTCCCAAGGGAGCGAAGCCCTCTTGTGGCCTCCATGGGCACCAGACACAGTGATGCACAGAGATATGTGCAGTCAAAATACCCATACATATAAAAGTTGAAAAATAAAAAAAGAAAAGAAAAAGTATGCAGAAAAGTGACTGGTAAGAGAAAAAGGGAAATAAAGCAATCAAATGGTAGGTAAACAAAAAGACTGAAGATACACAGAAAACAAACATCCTTCTTCAATAGTCACTACGTTAAATGTGAGTTAAACACTAGAAGGTGTAGATTAGGGGCTAGACATGGCTCAGTGGTTGAAGAGCACTGGCTGCTCCTCCAGAGGTCATGAGTTCATTTCCCAGGAACCACATGGTGGCTCACAACCATTTATAATGGGATCTGATGTTTTTCTTCTGGCATGTAGGTATATGTGCAGATAAAACACTCATATACATAAATAAACAACTAAACAAACAAATAAATAAATCTGTCATTAAAAGAAAAGGGTGCAAGTTAAAGAAATATATTTATTTCACAATTTTTATTTTATTTTTAATTATGTGTACCTCTACCTGTGTGTGTATTCATGTTGTGGACACGCACATGGAAGCGTGAGTGCTAACAGAAACTGAAGGCCTTGGATCCCTTAAAGCTTGAGTTACAGAAGTCGTGAGACAACTGACATGTGTGCTAGAAACCAAACGAGTATCCTGTAAGAGCTACACATGCTCTTAGTCAATGAGCCAGCCCCCGAAATAACGTGTGTGTGCGCGCACGCACGTGCATGTGTGTGTATTTGTTTGAGAAGAGGTGTCACATGATGTAGTCCAGGTTGGCATTAAACTCAAGATCCTCTTGCCTCTTCCTCCTAGGGTACAACTAAAACTAGCAGGCATCCTAATGAATGAATGAGTCAAAGAAGAAATCAGGAGATTACAAAGTGCTTTGGTTGGATGAAAATAGAGCAGTGGGAAAACTCTCTCTGCAACCACAGGGTGGCGCACAACCATCTGAAACGAGATCTGAAGCCCTCTTCTGGCTGCAGGTAGACACACAGACAGAATACTGTATACATAATAAATAAATAATTTTTTTTTTTAAAAAAAAGAAATACTAGCAAATCAAAACAGCAGCACATTAAAACGATCATACACCATTGGCAGGCAAGGGTAGCTAGCTCAGCACATGAAAATCATTCAGTGTAATATACCACATTCATGAATGAAAGAGAATAAGCAAAACCATCTCTATAATACAAAAGCATATGAAAAAACTAACACCCGTACACTACACATGATTCAACCAGCTGTATATATAGATGGGGATGTTCTCCATTTGATATCCATGGGAATCCATGGTTGCTAGGCTTCGGCGGCAAGCCCTTCACCTGCTTAGTCATCTTGCTAGCCCAGATCAGGAACCCACGAAAGAATACTTATTAAGTTTTGTGTGTGGGTATGTGCATAAGTGCAAGTGCCTGTGAAGATCAGAAGACAGCATCAGATCCCCTGGAACTAGAGTTACAGGCAGTTGTAAGCTGCCCAGTGTGGTTGTCTGGAAGGACAGTAAGTGCTGTTAACTGCTAAGCCATACAATAAACTGAGCTGGTTTTTTGTTTTGTTTTGTTTTGTTTGTTTTGTTTTTTTGAGACAGGGATTTTCTGTAGCTTTGGAGCCTATCCTGGAACTAGCTCTTGTAGACCAGGCTGGCCTCGAACTCACAGAGATCCTCCTGCCTCTGCCTTCCGAGTGCTGGGATTAAAGGCGTGAACCACCACCGCCCAGCTCAGTTTATTGTATTTTTTATTTACATAGTGTGCTAATCATATTTTCATGGACCCATTGGCTATGTGGCTCAGTAGTTAGGTGGTAAGTCAGAAGGCTAAAAAATTTCAAGGTCATGAGGCTGGAGAGATGGTGAAAAACTGGAAGTAGAAGGGATGGAGATCCAGTTGGAGGCATTTTTTGAGAAGGAGAAGGAAAAGCTCTCTTTCTGGAATGACAGCAGAGGAGAAAGCATCTGGGTGCTTTCTCTGCCTCTCTGAGCTAGCAGGTTTTCACCCCAGCATCTGCCTCCCAAGTGTTTATTGATAAAATTGAATGATATAGACTTAGTTAAAAACAACATGCCTCCTGATAAATGCATTGCCCCTAGTCTTACTGATAGGGCTGGAACATAGTTTGTGCCAGAGATGTGATCTGGTTGCTCATATACCGGAGTCACAGCAACAAATGTGGGCCTTTAGCACACAAGTTAACTGATGATTCTTCAATAGAGAGCAAGGGCAGGAGAGGCCTGGAGAAGTGTATCAATTGCTAGATTCAGGTGCAATCAGGTTTAGAAAATGGACAGTGTTGAACTATGATGTCTACACCAGTGACACAAGATATAAGCTATAGAAACACAAGAAGCACTTGTTATCCCAGCACTTGGGAGGTAGAGACAGGCAGATCTCTGAGTTTAAGGCCAGCCTGGTCTATAGAGTAAGTTTCAGGACAGCTAGGGCTACACAGAGAAACCCTGGCTCAAAAACAAATACAAACAAAAAAGAACACCAAAAAACAACAACAACAACAAAAACTTAAAACAAAACACAGATAAGATTTAACTTGTGAAAGATGCTTTCAAGTAGTCTAGGGGGGAGAAGTAGGGTAAATAATTAGCAAGAGATTATGAGTTTGAAAATGTACATATCAAACTATGGGAATAGTTTAAGAAAGTAAACTAAGGCCGCCTTTAATCCCAGCACTCAGGAGGGAGAGGCAGGCGGATCTCTGTGAGTTCGAGACCAGCTTGGTCTCTAGTTCCAGGACAGGCTCCAAAGCCACAGAGAAACCCTGTCTCGAAAAACAAAACAAAACAAAACAAAACAAAAAAAAAAAAAAAGAAATATGGAAGCTATGGATGAAAATAATGTGTGGAGTAGTTGGCTGCCTGGTATGTTGGAGGTCCTGGTTCTGTCCTCAATATAACCATAAATTTTTTTTTAAAGGTTCAGAGCCGGGGATGTAGCCCAGGAAAAGTGGTGGCCTCCTTCTGTAATTCCAGCACCTGAAAAGTGGAAGTTGGAGGATGAGGAGGTCAAGGCCAGTCTGGGATACCTGCTGTCTCAAAGAAAAAACGTTTTAGCCTGGAGAAGAATGTTGACGGGCTGCCTCATCTTTTCAACACAAGCCCTTTCGCTTGTTGATTTACTCAAGAAAATCTAAACCGGACGGTGGCGACGCACGCCTTTAATCTGAGCACTCGGGAAGCAGAGGCAGGCAGATTTTTGAGTCTTGAGTACAGAGCAAGTTCCAGAGCAGCCAGGGCTACACAAAGAAACTCTATATCCAAAATAAAAAAAAATAAATAAAAATTAAAGGAAGGAAGAAATTCTAAGTAAGCACACGAAGACCACTTTTGTAAAAGCCAGACAGCTACCTGAAGCTCGCCTTTCTATCAATTCTCAGGGGTGGAGAACAAGTCGTGAAGGCGCAGGCCACAGTGGTGGTCCTGCGTGAGTGCTCCTCATTGCTAGTAGCTTTAGTAGATGGCTTTACCTGCAGTTTTCCTTGAAGCGACACTTTCCCTCCAGGAAGAAAGGGCAGGGCTTCAGGGACTTGTGGGTAGGGTACAGGTAGAGTACGCGAACGCATGCCGAACCATCTTCTGCCTCTTCAGTGCCCACAACCATTGCGTTGTGGTACTCTAGAGTGCCCCATGCGCTGTGGTAAGGGGCATTCACTTTAGCACCGCTCAGCTCCTCCTGATCTGGGTCCTCCTCATCTTCCTCCTGTGCTGGGGAGGTGGGTCCCGGCCGCACCTCGTTCCCAGGGACCGTCTCCGAGTCATCCCCGGGGGCGACAGGCGCCTCCACTTCCTCCGCTATAGCCTTCTGAAAAGCCAAGTACTCAGCATCCTCCTGCGCTGGGTGCTCCTGGTCCACTGCAGCCAGCAGCTTGCTCTTCCTGACCGACAGCAGACTGGCCTCGGTGAGCTCGATCAGTTCCTTCAGATCGCCCTGCAGCTGGCGCAGGTCTGCCAGCTCGGAGGCGTCCAGGCCAGCACCAAGGGCTAGCTCTACCTGCCGAAGCTGGGCCCGGTAGGTCTGCAGGGCAGTCTCCAAGTTGTCCTCGTCCATCCCTGCCCGCGCAGGCTAGCTCCGGAACCGCGAAGGGGGACGAAACCAGAAGGAAGAGCAGTCAGCAGAGCTCAGGACGACACTTCGCCGCAACCGCTCGAGAGCCTTGGCTCTGCCAAGGTGGGGAACCACAAGTATCCCACCGCGCCCTCTGCGGTCCGCAGCCCCGCCTCCCGCCGGCGCCGGCAGCCTCCGAGGGCTTCTGGCCTCGCCAGTAAAGCCCTCGCTCCAGCCTTCCGCCTGCCACAGGCACTTCCGCCCGGGAGCTGATGCTGCCGGAAGTAGCCGCGTTCCCGAGCTGCCAGGCTGGGGCGCGCGGGGGCCGCTGGGATATGGTTCTGCCCGTACTTGGGCCGCCGGTCGGTGTCCCGTCCGGCACCGCGCGGGGTCAACGCGAGGTCGGTGGGGCTTGCAGCTCGGCGTCGGCGGCTGAGGCTCCCGGATCTGAGCAGGAGGAGGTGGGTTTCAGCCAGGCTGAGAGACCCGGGTTCCAGAATCCTACGGGAGGGGACGGAAACGACCTCGGCGGCTGGTTCCGAGGCTCTGTGGACCCGGCAGCGGCGGGGTTCCGAAGCCGGCCCACGGCAGAAGCGCTGCCTCTCGGGAGCACCCTAGACTCTGGTCGCTGGCTTAGAACCTGCGACAGTCGTAGTTCCTAGTGCTAAGAGGAGGGTCCGGAAAGAGGAGCCTCAGGAAGGCAGAGCAGGGTAGGCCGCGGCGGGTCTTTCAGGGCTGATGGTGTATTCCGAAGTGGGAGTGACCCAGTTTAGAGCAGGTGGTCGGCGGTGGAGGCGGGGTCGGGAATTTTATAAAACAGGGCGCAAGGAGTCATGAGCCACGCCGCGAGGCTCCACATCTGAAAGCTGGCTGGATAGACGACGGACCACCGATGAAGCGGGCCCGAGGCTAATGCCCCCGGTACACACCTTGACGTTTCTCAGGGTGCCAGGGCAGGATGTATACGCTGCTTTCGGGGCTGTACAAGTACATGTTCCAGAAGGACGAATACTGTATCCTGATCCTGGGCCTGGACAATGCTGGGAAGACAGTAGGTGCCTATTCCATAACCAAGTCCTATTCCCTGCTTTATGTTTTCTTCTTTGGAAACCTAACCCCCACCCAAGACTACAGGTTAGTTGCCACCAGCCTCCCAAAGAGCATTCAACAGACAGAGGTTCGTGTGTGTGTGTGTGTGTGTGTGTGTGTATGTGTGTGTGAAAGCCCAGAGTTGCCCAAAGCGTGTGGGTGTGGAGGCCTGAATTTTCCCAAAGCGTATGTGTGCGAAGGGATATTTAGGAAAGACACCAGAAAACTGCTTTAGCTGCCACTATAACCATCTCTCTTTCTTTCCTCAGACCTTCTTGGAACAATCAAAAACTCGGTTTAACAAGAACTACAAGGGGATGAGTCTATCTAAAATCACCACCACCGTGGGTCTAAACAGTAAGGGGGCACCTTAGGGATACGAACTTAGGGGTCCCTTAGAGGTGGGTGCTGCAGGCTCCACAGCCCAACTGGCCAGTGGCCAGATCCCTGTCCCTCCATTCTCTGGGATTGGTACCCAAAGGGTTTTCCTTATCCCAGGAAGAGCTGGGACTTTCTGTGTAAAGACTAAGGTCAGGGGCTAGCTCATTCTGTCCTTTCCCCAGTTGGCACTGTGGATGTGGGGAAGGCTCGTCTCATGTTCTGGGACTTAGGTGGGCAAGAAGAGCTGCAGTCTTTGTGGGACAAGGTAAGACAAACCCTCTGCTTCCTGGTGTCTTTCTCTAGACGGCTTCTCTTAGCCTCTTCTTCCATGAGCTTGCCTGTTGTCCACATTTACCCTGAGGGTTTTCTCTTTTTTAAAAATTACTTTTTGCCGGCATGGTGGCGCACGCCTTTAATCCCAGCACTTGGGAGGCAGAGGCAGGCGGATCTCTGTGAGTTCGAGACCAGCCTGGTCTACAAGAGCTAGTTCCAGGACATGCTCCAAAACCACAGAGAAACCCTGTCTCAAAAAACCAAAAGTAAAAAATAAAAAAATAAAAATTACTTTTTATTGAGGGTAGAGGATTATCACAGCATACATGTAGAGGTCAGAGAACAACTTTGTAGTCTGTTTTCTGACATTTACATGGGATCTAGAGATCAAACTCAGATTGTCAGGCTTGCATAGCAAGCACCTTTACCTGCTGAGCGATTTCGTTGGCCCTGTCCAAAGGTTTTCTCTTCAGTCCTATCCCAGGTTCCCAGGTTGCTTTCTGTCTCACTCTGGCAAAACCCAGGGTCAGAATCAACATAGAAGTGGTACCAGAGAAGCTCCCATAGACAACCTAGCCTTTTCCTGATGAGGCCACTGTCAATCCCAAAGAAGCATTGTTCACCAGGGTAGTCAGTGTAGAGCCCTGACTGGGGAACTCTATAACCTGTGCCCTTAGAGGCAGACAGAAATGGCAGAGATCATACATAGGGAGTGTACAAATCTTTTGTTTCCTGGTGAATCTGTCTACCTCATTCTAGCTTCTCATGGTTCTTCCAGATGGTCTCTTCCCCATCTGAGAAGGATTTTTCTCAGAAGCAGATAGCACCTGCCTCCTCTTTGGGCATTGTTTTAGCGTTCCTAAGACTTCTCTCTATATACATTCCTACGCTGGTGTCTCCTCCACCCAGTCTATGCCAGGTACTAGGTCTAGCACTGTGTAGAACAAGCCCTGACTTTCCTTCAGTGGTCTCCTGCCCTGTGAGTTGGCACAGTTATCCGGTGCAGCCCAGTGCTGTGGTACAGGTGCTTCAGCTACTGTCATGCTTCCCAGCAGCCATATATTACAACCGAGGGCCAGTTTTGCTCCCAGTTCTTTCCTGGGCTTCCCTAAGGTGTTTCTTCTTGCTGTAGTTTATCCTATATGCAGAAGGTCTCTGATGGCCACCAGGTTGGACAGAGAGGACAAGCCTCGTTAGGGGGCAGTGATGTACATTGGCACCTCCAAACATGAGACACAGGTGGGGAATCAAATCAATGACCATCTTGTCACAGGTTAGGTCTTGAAGTGGACAGTGAGATGCAGAGTATGTGTATTGGGGTCATCACCAGGATGGTGGCAGAGAGGGAACTTAGCAGAGCTGGCTAGGCCCCCAAGCCTGCCATCTTCTGAGTCACCAGTCACTGCTCTTTGTGATGAACAGCCAGAGTGATTGTTTGTGCACTGCTTAGATATGTACCCCACATTGGGAGGCCTCTTCCAGGAGAAGGGTAGACAGCAACCTTGTCAGCTGGCCATGATGTGACTTCCTGATGGCTGATTGAGTCACCTGTCATCCTTTCTCTGGCCAATCAGGGGCAGTTATCTTTGAGCAAATGGAGCCCACCCAGTGTGCCCACTAGGTAGCCATGTTTGACTCTGCTGGGCTTGTTGCTTTGGTGGACAGGAACCACTCTCCCTTACCCTTGATCCCTATAGTACTTGGGGTTGTAAAGATGTGCAGCAGAGTTGCTTCTAGATTACTAGGAGGTCAGGAAGAAGGGCCTCTTGTCTTACCTTGGTTCCTGGATGCTGTGTCCTGGCCTGAACGTAGCACCTTAGGAAGGTTTCTCATCCTGGTATTCTGCAATAGTGCTACCACACGGGCACTGTGACCCAATGCTGTCTGTCCTGCTAGGGTGACAGGCTGTGTTTTTGTGACTTGAGTCTCCTCTGCTGAAAGGAGAGTCAGTTGACATATGACTGTGGCCCAGTGTCTCATGTTGTTGCTAAGGAGACATGCTTGTATTCTGGTTCCCCCTGACTTTCTTAAGAGATGATATTTCATAGGACTTAGCCATGCTGCCCTATTAAGTGAAGTGCCTAGCAGGGGCTCCGTTGGCCTTGGTGAACGGAACCTATACTGATAAGTTTTTGGTCTGCCACTCAGTCTAGCACAACACCACCAATGGGCCGGTTGCTCTTGACATTGTTCTGGTGAACCCTGAGATAGAAACCAAGTCACCATGTCTGCTGCTTCATTTGCCTTAGGCTTTGGTACCTACTCTGCTGACCGAGCAGAGTGCTTTATCCATAGATCTGTGCACATGCCAGGCTTATATCACTTCTCACATAAGCAGACCAGGTGGGCTATCTGTCTCTGGTCTGTCCCATGTCTAGCTAAGAGTGTTTCCTTCTGCTGGTTATGCAGGTCTCTTTGCCCCTCCCCCAGCGCACATTCATAGCCACAGGTGTGACTTCTCAGCTGAGGTTAGTATGCCTCTCTCATCTCTCTGGCAGCTGTTGGACCTTATGCCTGTGGATGTGATGGGTGACTCTACTTCGTTCCTAAGTCTTGTGCCTAATCACATAAGACGTTCCTGACGACCTCTGGAGCTAGTGCTGCCTGCTGACTCACTAGGCTTGCTGCAACCCTTATATCATCCACTGATATCATAAATGTCTCTACAGTAGGACCTGCCTGCTCTCAGGCCTCTAGCAATAGGCTAACCCACTGTCTTGCTTGAGAGCTAGCAGCTTCTGTGCCAGACCCATTGCAAGGTTGGAACTATTTGGATGGGACTGGCCTCTAGTACTCTATGGGAAATGCAAGTAGGAAGGGAGTTTTACTGACATGGGTGTAGTGTTCCTTTCTTACTTGTCATACAACCTCAGTGGTATACATCCTACCCTGTCTGCAGCACATTATTTTACCAGTCAGTGTTGACTTCTCCCAGTGTGATCCTGATATGAAGTGGCAAGTGTATGCTGTTTGCCCCATATTGACAGGCATTATTTTTCTGATTGGCATAGGAGCTCATACAATGTCTTCATCCCTACGCTTACCTTGCCCCATCTGTTTTCCTCAGGAGTGCTGTCCATTCCTCACCCTTGTTGTTGGAAGCCTACGTCTAACCTGAGATCAGTACTGTCATTTTTGTTCAGGCAGGATAGCTTCCTAGGCAGTGCTGACCTCAGCCATGAGCCTCTTAGCTTCGCAACCTCTAGCTCTGTCTCTTGCCCTTTACTCAGCATGCTATAGCCAGGGCAGCAGGTGAGTTCTCAAGAGCAGCCCATGAGCAGGAGGAAGTAGATGAACCTGCCAGAACCAGCAAGCCTTCCTCAAAGGTGCAATGTTATCTCTACCACTAAATTAGCCCCAGAACGCTTCCTCGCAAGTCTTCCCACTGGGTTGTGCCAATTTTTTCATTGTGGGCCTGGGCTAGCAAAGTTTTCACCACTCCCTCACACAAGGTCTCACCTGTAGCCCCCACTCCCTCCTCTTCCTTCTAGTACTATGCAGAGTGCCATGGTGTCATCTATGTCATTGACTCCACTGATGAGGAGAGACTGTCAGAATCCAAAGAAGCATTTGGTGAGTGTGGCATGGCCACTCGAGGAGGGAGAGAAGATGGGAAGACCTACATCTAGGGAATCGTGTGGGGAGGGGCATACCAAGGGGTGTGTACCAGTCTAATCTGGATCCTCCCACGCCTGGAACTTTCCTTAAGGAAGGCTGGGCTTACACCTGATGCCAATGCCAGAAAACGCCTCATCGTGTTGCTCGGGCTGTCTAGTTTGTGAGGGAAAGGGTGGAAGGGAGCTGTCTGCACACACCTTTGGGCCTGGGCAGAGCCTGCAGTCACAAACAGGATACAGGGTGCAAGGCACCACCTCTCCTGCTTTCCTCAGAGAAGGTGGTTTCGAGTGAAGCATTGGACGGTGTCCCCATCCTGGTGTTGGCCAACAAGCAGGATGTGGAGGTGAGCCCCACAAAGCTGCTGTAGGGCCTCTATTGCCACTGTAAAGAAAGTGACTTGTATGCCTCCAGATTCCATAACCTAGTGTCTCTACCTTCCATCCCAACCTCTCTCTGCCCTTCTTGGGCCCCTCCTTCACACCCTTAGGATCCCCACCTTGCCAACTTCAGTTCCTTTCTTGGTGTCACTGGAGCTGCCACCAGGCATGTTCCTACTAGAGGTTCTTACAGTCAGAGTGCAGATCCATCTTCTTTCCCAAGGGAGGACCAGAAGCTTGTGTCTGTGGGCGTCCCCAGGGATTCTGGGAGTAAGGGGCCTAGAGCAAGACCTGGGAGAAAATTCTGGCTTCAAAGAAGTAGAGTGGGGGGGGGGGCATTGGAGATGGCTCAGAGATTAAGAGCATGTATGCCCTTCCAGAAGACCCGAGTTTGAGTCCCAGTACCCATGTCAGGTGGCTCACAGCCATCTGGGATTGCAGCTCCAGGGGATCTGACACCTCTAGCCTTAGTAGATACCTGTTCTCGTTTGTACATACCCCACCCCGACACATTCATATAGATAATAAAAAAACAAATCTTTAGCTTTTAAAGTGGGAGTAGAGGGGAAAGACAATGGGCATCTTCTGAGACGAGGTGCTACTTCCCTTTGGACTTCTGGCCACACAAAGTTCCCACCATCTTACAAAAGGGGCTCTGTACAGAAAGAACCATGGAGGACATGGTAGCAACCAGTAGCTAGAGGGCCAAGGAAGCTTCATTTTTCTGCGGCCCTGTGTATCTACCTAGTTACATCTAACATGACCTGTTCTCCGTTCGTTTTCCTGAGGACTTCCCCCCACTCCATCTCTGTCCCAAAACTAGTAATAGAGGTCTCCGGTACTTGGTTAAGGAACTCGGGGCATTTCCTTAGATGGAAAGGGGAACAGAGAAGCCACTGAATACTACCAAGGCTTCTCAACCCCAGGACCCTGGATCCTTCCTCACTTGGCACTAGAGCTCCTGACTTAATTCAGTGTTGTGCTGATAGATGCTCTGGGGGTTGTTCTTGGGGGAAGTATGGGATGTTCTCTTGAGAGCTGTGTGTAGATTCCCTAAAGCCCTGGGCACAGCCGTCCGCAGTAGACTTGGACCAGGTACAGCAGGCTCACCTCTACTGAGGGACTGTGGCCTTCCTGAAGCCCAAGTGAACAAACAAGTTGGATGGAGCTAGGTGGTGGAAGTATCTCAGAGTCTCGCCTCCCCTGTCAGACCTGCCTCTCCATTCCTGACATCAAGACTGCATTCAGTGACTGTACCTGCAAGATTGGCCGACGAGACTGTCTGACCCAGGCCTGCTCTGCTCTCACAGGGTGAGTTGAGTCCTCACTCTCTAGAGTTCTCAGGACCAAGGCTAGCCCTGCCTCACACATACTGTCTCCACAGCAAAGGAGTTCGAGAGGGCATCGAATGGATGGTGAAGTGTGTCGTGAGGAACGTTCACCGGCCACCACGGCAGAGGGACATCACATAAGCAATGCCAGCTTCGCAGTCTTGGGACTATTCATCCCTGGTGTTGGAGTACTCCCTGCTGGCTGTGTGCCACCGATGCTGGGGTTGAGCTGGCTGTGTTTGTTCATTCGTTTATTCGCTTTATGTTTTCTCTAAGACAAACTTTTCTCTGTGTCTGGAAAATCTAGGTATCCAGAGACAAATGGGGGGCACACAGGTCATCCAGCTCTAGATGCCCTACCTCCCATTCCACCCCATTCCAGATCTGGGACCCTCCCAAACCTGTAAGGAGGGGTTGGGGTGAGGCTACCCCTAGGCTTGCCTGTTGGCACATTCCAAGTGGAGTTTGAGGGCATCCTGCTTGAAATGGGAGGTCTGTTTCTGGCAGCTGCTTTGTCCAGCTTGCCCATGTAAAAGGTGGGAATGGCCAGGGCTAATCCCCACTTGGAGAAAGACTTAGCCCACATTCCAGAGGCCAGCATGGTCCCTTGTTTTTTTGTTTGGAGTCGAGTGTGTGTGAGACAAGAGTTTTCCGTAACCCATGTTAACCCAGAACCCTTTGCCTCCTTCCCTGTACCTGTGGGAATTGTAGGTGTGGGGGCACCACACTCACCTTTCCACTAGGTTTTGATACAGTCTCAAGACAGGGTTCAGTAGACCTGCCTGGGAAGTCTGACTTCCCTTATTCTCTCTGATTTATCTCCAAAGGAGAAAGCTTATCTAGAAATCTCGCTGAGTGTGCACTTCAGTGCTCCCATATTCAGGTTGTGTGATGTCCTGAGGGCACACCTTTCACCAGGTTATTAGGTGTTGCTATAGCCAGTGCAGGTGGGCTTGGTCCCTACAGGGTCCACGTCAGTCAAGTGCTGGATGGGTGTGAGGTACGGATTCCTGGGGGGCGGCAGCCCTGCCCACTAAGCCTACTAGGTTAAATTCTTCCTCATGTGGCCAGGATAAGGCTGTAAAATAAAAAGTGGCTCCTGTTCAATCATCCCTTCCAGCAGTCAAACACTGGTTCCCCGCTGTCTGGTGATTATAGCCAGAAGCTGCTGCCCTAGAATGCCTGCTGAGCAGGAGCTACCAGGGAGGTTTGTAGCTGTGGCTAAGCCCCGGGTTCAAGACCTAGTGGCTCCTTCAGGAAGAGGGTAGTGGGTACTCTGATTCAAGGAGAGGTCCTATCCCATAGGTGTCCTATGACCTGGGTTGAATCCTTCCTAGAGTATCCTCCTGGGAATTAAAGAATAGGCTGCTCATAAGATGGACAAACCAAGGGGAAGTCTAGCATGGAGCATCAGACATTCAAGATGTCTCTCTGGCCACCTCCCCTCAATTCTGTGAACATTGAGCAAGATTAGGAGCTTCATGGAGTGACCTTTGGGACAGAGCTGCAGATTGAGAACAGCTATCTTTCTGAAATGAATAGCTTTATAAAAAGTCCAGAACTTGGAAGGCAGAGGCAGGCACATCTCTGTGAGTTCAAGGCCAGCCTAGTCTACAGAGCGAATGCCAGGGCTGTTATACAGAGAAACCCTGTCTCAAAACACAGCAAAAAAATAAAACCTGAGAAGGTGTAAGGTTAGGGTGACATTGATTGGGAGCACAGAATAAAGTCACATACAGTGCAGAGTTAGCCAGTCACAAGAAAATTGCTGCATTAGCAGCTCTACAGATGAGGCATCCTAGCCTCGGAAGAGCGTGTAATCCTGAACTTCACTCCATTGGAGAGCTGTTACAGAGGCTGCAGGGCCTCCTGTGATAGTGGTGAACCCCATTTTCCTGGGTTTACCAGGGCCTGCTGCAGTCACCACAACCCTTTAAAAGAAATGTCCCAGAAAGTCAAAATTCCATGATGGTGTGTTCAGAGCTCATACAAAGAAGTCAGGCGAGACCATATGGGTTGCTAAGTTCAAAGAACATTAAACAAGACGTGAAAGTAGGAACAAAATGCCCATGGAAACAAAGGGCAGGGCTATTCAAAGAGGGGCTTTCAGGCTAGACTGCCTGATAAAAGTCCCTGGAGCCCTCTGTTGGAAAAGGTTAAGGAGGGCCAACATGTATTTGGGACTGACACCTGACATTTCCTGCAAGGAACCTTTTTTCATCTCCTTGGGCTAACAGAGCCTTTCCAGGGTTCTGACCCTGTCTACAAAGTAAGGAAGAACTGTGTAAAGTTGAAGACCAAGGCCAGGGCAGAGCAGTTACAGTGAGGACAGCACTGTTCTGAACTTGAGCAGCTGGCTGAGGTGCTTGTAGGGCGCAGGCCCCTCTGAGTATTCCTGTTATGTTAGGGTAGAAGAGGGCAGGATTGGGGAATATTTGGGGTCTATCTTCTGTAGTTTAAGTCCTAAGCTCCTATAGTCTCACTCCATGCCAGTGCCAGATGGTGCTGTAAAAGCTAAGAACTCCCATGCTCAAGCTCATGGGGAAAGTACACATATATAAGCACCCCAGCTTCCAGTGTAGTTAGGCTGGACAATTTCATATAGATAAGTCCTGGAACCTCCCATAAGGGCTTTGAGGCTTGGCTGGTGGAAGGATGAAGGAGTGACCCCCTATCAGTTTAGAAGCTGGCTGGACACAGAACACTGCAGGTCTGCAAGAAGGGATCTTCCCAGATAGCTGTCCTCCTGTGTTTCATTTTTTGAGACAAGGCTTCTCTGTGTAGCCCTGGACCAGGCTGGCCTCAAACTCAAAGACAGCCTCCCAAGTGCTGGGATTAAAAGTGTGTGCCACCATTGTCTGGCATTGCTTCTCTCTTTTTCGAGGCAGAGTCTGTAGCTTTGGCTGCCCTGGAACTGTACCAGGATACTTAGCACCTCTGTGACACTCAAATTGTGTAAGCCAAGGCATGAACACCATCCTGTCAATTGGTTTTATTGAACAGCCCTGGGCGCTCAAAATGTCCGGCAAGAAGCATCTAGCAGACCCACCCATCATGCCCTGAGGTTTCAGATCCATTAGATGGTAAAGACTTGCAGTGGATCAGCCAGTTGTCACATCACTGGGGCTCCGGCCAGAAGACCTGAGTAATGCTCTGCTTCCTGTTAACAGCACCGCAAGCTGGACACACTCTAGAGGCCTGTAGAGATACCTGCTAGGCACTGCAGCCCGGCCAAGTGCACACCCTAGGCCCCCAGCCCACCACCTGGGGAGACGCTGGATGGGCTGGAGAGGGTCAGACCCCAACCTGGAGTTGCAGTTGCCAACAGGCCCAGCAGCGGCAGAGGTCACAGGAGGGGCACTGGAAAAGCGCTGTGTCTTCAGTTGCACAGGCTGGGCACACAAACACTGCTGCAGGAGGTCTGAGTGAGCACAGTCCCAGGGCCCTGCCATAACCAGCAGTCCCTGTTGCCCCTATCGCTTACTCCGATCAGGCCTCATAAGCTTCACTGGGGTAGAACCATCAGACTTCACACTCTGGACTGGCCTCTGTCTAAGGAAGGATGAGATCTTACTCTGGGTCTTCTCAGGTTTCTTGGACACTGAAGGACCTACAGACATCAATGTAAGAAGCATGTGTTTCCCTCCTGTTCGCTCCTGAGTGTGAGGGCCACAGTGTGACACGGCAAGGGTGGAGGGAGTCATTAAGGGGGCCCTCACCTGCTTTTGTGTCCTCGGAGAGCTCAGGAAGCCCAGTTGTGCTCTCTTCCCTGGGACCTGGTAGCTCCAAGCCCTTGCTTGTGGTTGGCAAGCCCATAAGGTCCGCACAGGTCTGCTGAAACTGGGGCTTGTGGTGGGGACGCACAAACATGCCAAACCCTGAGGGGAACTTTTGTTTAGGCTCTGCACTTCTTACATACAGCCCCTACACCGCCCTCTCTCTAGAACCTATGCCTCACATTCAAGGACTACATACTCTGTAGCAGGGATAAGTGTTCAGGTTTTGTGGTAGTCAGTGCAGCCACCACAGCCAGCACCTTGCCCAGGTCATCATCCTGTTTGTATGCCCTCAGAGCTGCCATAAGCTGGCTGCAGTCTGTAGGTCCCAGAGTCTTGCGGATGTCGGATAGGTAGGCACTCACAGCATGCTGGCCGGGTTTCTCTACTGTACACCCCACTTTTGGACAATTGCTGAGGTCTCCTGGTGGGAGAGAAGTTACTGGGAGTCCCTCCCCATTCTGCTTCCTCCCAGATATCCCTGTAGAGTCTGTCAGCTGCTCAGGACAAATGGGTTTAAGAATCAAGCAGTCCAATACAACTCTTCACAGATTTTTAAGTCCCACATGAGGTCTTTAGTACCTTTAGGAGGCAGATGGGCAGACAGGTGAGGCCTCCCCTGGTTCAGGTGCTCCCCAGGATCCAGCTGTCTACCTATACCTTCAGACAAAGTTGGTTTAGTTTCTTGACACTCTCCTTCCTGGAGAAATATGCTCCTAAGACTAGACCTCACACTCCTCAGACAGGAAAGGGACCACATCACAGACCCACCCAACTGGCTTTGAGGGCCCAGACAATGGCTCCAACTCAGGAGCCTAAGTACAGACATTAGGAACCTCACCAAAAGGTGAATTTCCCCCGATCGAATAAAGTCCCTCTGCCACACCTGCCCTGCAGCAAGCACTGGAACAGGCACTGCATCTGTGCAGGGGCCAGCTCAGCTATTCAGTCAGGACAGAAGTAGGACAAGTACCCAGCTGCCAAGACTCTAGCATGAATTCCCCAGGGGACGATCTCTTGGATGCCTAGGCTAGGAGACAGAGTTCATCCAACAAATACTGCTATTGTTGGCAACAGAATCAGCTTGGCTGATTTAGACAAGCAAAACCCTAGGGATGTCTACTATGCCAATCTCAGGTGTAAACTGCCCTGCAAATCTAAGACTGAGGGTCTAGCCTGGGGCCTTGCTCACTGGTGGGGTCCGCAGCTGACTGGGCTTGTTCTCGGAAGGGAAGGCCACGCTCTGGCTGGTAGCCACAGCGTTGGCCTGTCAGCTGGAAGCAGACGTCTTCAAACTGCTGCTTGTGGTGAGGTCGTACAAACTGGTAGAAGCCTGTAAAGAATAGATGTCTGAGTTTATGGGCTCCATGCACTGTGACTGATGGGCTTGGGGCTCTGCGGACCATGGCCTGCCCACCAGGACCTTTCTCTAGGAAACAGAGACAACCCTGGGCCCTAGTAGCCTTCAGAACCAGTTTCACCCCACCACTGTGGTGTTAGCCCTATAGCAGAATTTTGAAGGGGGAGCACACCTTTAAATAGAGTGTGCTTCTTAGGGTCTTCAGCAAAGAGGCTGATGAGAGAAGCCACTAGGGCTTCAAAGTCATCAGAACCCTTATAGTGCTGTAGGGTCTGGGTAAAGGTGTTGAAGTTGGCGTGGCTCAATGCTTGCTTCACTGCTACCATGAACAGTTTGGCTCTGTCTTCTTGTGTGTCAGCCACTGGTTTCTCCTGCAAGACAAATGATCAAAAGTCCTATCAGAGTCAGCACAGAGTCTAGGGCCAGGGGATAATGACTTGCATTCAGGCTACTGCCTGTGAACCATCTACTGGGACAAGAAGCAGAGAGGGCTGCTGGAGACCAAAGTCCAGCTCTGGTGTGTGGTGAAGCTTAGGCCCATCTCAAACCTCACCGAAGGACCCAGGAAACTATAGGAGCCTGTGTAGTTTGCTGCCCCACAGCACATGTTGTGGAGAACACTTCTCAACAGGTTCAACCCTAGGTCTGCACATCTCAGACCTGCAGAGAACTTGTAAACCAAGGCAGCTCCCACACCCACCGTTTGCTTAGGCCCTTCCCAGATAGTCTACTTCCTGATACATCATCCTTCCTGGGCTCTGTCTGATTCTTCTCACAAGCAGGATAAAGACAAAAGCCACCACACTTGGGGATTTCCAGCAGACAAAGGGTTAATGGCTCAGGCTGTAACTTAATTTTTCACTGGAAACTAGGAACACACTGCACCTCCTCATATGGATAATTCAGTGTCCATACTCAGAAAGAGCCAGTACCAAGCCGTTCTGCTCATTATAGTAGAGGAAACCACGACCTCAAATAAACCTCAAATAAAATGGGCCTAAGGGTCAGGCTGGATTCTAGCAGAAAAAGACAAAGATCTCTTGAGCAGGGCTGGAAAAGTTTCTTGAGCAGGGTGAGCATTGCACATGCCTGTAATCACAACACCTGGGAGGTGGAGGCAGGAGGATCAGGAGTTAAAAGTCATTCTTGGTTACATAGTGAGTTCAAGGCCAGCCTCTTTGTGACCCTCTAAAAACTAAAAAACATAGGGGAAAGAGGGGTTGTCCTCTTAAAGAATGGCAAATTAGAGTCCCTAGGTTATCAACATCATGGCCATTCAAATCTAATCACACCCTTTGCTTGGTTGGGGCAATGGGCACCAGAGGCAAAATTCCCACATACGCCTACAAGCAGTTAGCTTGGCTGCAGGAGTGGCTGACATACCGGATGACTGACCAGCCTGACCTTCCTCCTTCCTCCTCTCTGCTCAACAGACGGCCTCTTCTCACATCGGAGAGACAGGGTGGAGGAGCCAGGTGCCTGAGGGAAATACAGCTGTGGTCCCAAACCAAACCCAGAGTTCCCAAAGCACCTGTGATATCCTTTTGGGTCTCCAAGATCCTCGCCTGTGTCCGGAACAGAAGGATGAAGGGAGGGGTCTCATCCCTAACCCTGGCGGCAGTGCTGAGATCCTGTCCCTTTGATGCCCTGCCACTTGTCTTTGTTGTTTGCAGGTAGCAGTGAGAGCCACAGGAAGGACAGGTTGTGGTAACTGACTGTCCGAGCAGGGATGGAGGGAAGAGCTCCAAGTCAGACCTAGGAACTCACAGGCTTTTGGGCAAAGGCCTCCGAGGAAAAGGAGCTCGAGACTCCATTCACACAACATAGGCTGGAAGAAGAAAGGTCAGCTTTGGGCACAGCAGGGGGCAGGATGTGCTAGATTTGGGGCGAACTGTGCCAGACTGACACCCTAAAGATACGGTGGTGGCATCATGGAAGACAGGGCCTGGGGAATAAGGCATGGTACAGCAGAGGTGCTGAAATCTCTCACTTGCTCAGCTGTGTGCTGGAAAGGGCCATATTCGTGCCAGGCACCCTCACCCTGCCTCATACCTGCTCCTTCTCAGATGTCTCAGCCTTCTGGTCATTGTACTCTAAGGCAGCTAGCAGCCCCACAGGCCTCTGCTGGGCAGAAACTGGCTGCTGCTCATACTCCACACACAGGCTGCTCTCAGAGTCTCCAGAAGCCGACAATCCTAAAGAAATGTGTTGACAGAACGCTTACCAGGAAGCAAGGATGCTGTCTCTGTCATGTGTGGTTTATACCCAACCCAACACACCTATGGGCCTCAGGCTGGGCACATGCACATCCAAGCTCATGGCTTTCCTGGTGGAGAGAAGAGGGCTGGACAATGTAGCCTCCTTGACAGCAGATTCTCTCTCACTTACACTCGAGGTCATAGCCTGGTAAACTGGCAAAGGCATCTGTAGAATTATAAGGTGAGAAGGCTTACATCCATTGCTCCTCAGAGAAGGGACCCCAGCTTCTTTATGGGACACAAGCAAGTCAACTGGGCATTTGGAGCTCACAGTTTTCTGAGCAACACGGAAGAACTGGGCTACATCTCGGATGACATGGCCAAAGTTGTCATACACCTTGAGGTAAGGGCGCACCCAGGAGGGCAGCTGGGCCCTGGCATCAGCATAGGCGAACCTGGAGGGTGGATGCATGGCAATCAGCTCAGGTCCTCTACCACACAGACGAAGGGCCATCCCTGC